ACACCACAGCCTTACATTTATCAATTCAGCTTTTAGAACCATGTCAAATTTTCAGTCTGAACCTAAATATAAGGGTTTTTTTTTTAAAGAATAAGTACATTTATGGCTGTACCAATTTATAGGGAGAAGCATCACTAAAGTAGAAATCAACTAATTCAACTATTTCAAAAGCATTACAAGAAACCTTGCTTGTGCAATTATTTAATTGTAAATACAGTGAGTTTTAAAGTGTTGCCTGACACTTCACATTCTCAAGAGGAATCCATTAAATTATATTTAAACAATTAACAATGGTAACAGCATGGTAATTTTATAGCACCAGTACATAGAAAGTGATTAAATTTTTTAAAAGCCCTCACATCTTTTCCAGAGGAATATATGGATTTCTTTACTGGATGAACTGTGTTATCTTAGTGTAACATGTAAGAGGGGAAAAACATAATAAACATAATACATATCCAATCATAATTTGGAAATTAGTTTAAATGGGCACTTATAGCAAGAAATCAGAAAATGAGTCTGCTAAAATCTTTAGCAGCTTGTGCTACTCTGTCATGGATTGCCCAAGTACAAATTCACTCTCTAGTACACTCTGGGGCCAAACAGTTATAAGCTATGTCTAACTATGAACAGACTGGAAAGTTACAATCTAGCCATCAACTTTCTTTAGCAGCTAAAAGTGCAATAACAAAAACATGAGAATAAACTAGACTACACTATATTGTTTCCCCTTCATCTTTGATTGTTTATATGGACAGATTCAGTTTGAGCCTGAGCCAACACTCACTGAAGACACTATCCCTCCCCTTCCCCTTAACCCTTGGGTTGAGTGCTGTAGCTATTTTTAGAAATCTCACATTGGTACCTTCTTTGCATTTTGTCAAATCTGCTGTGAAAGTGTTCTTAAAAAGAACATGTGCTGGGTCATCTTACGAGACTGCTATAACATGAAATATATGTCAGAATGTGGGTTAAACAGAACAGGAGACATACAATTCTCCCCCAAGGAATTCAGTCGAAAATTTAATTAACACTTTTTTATGAGCATCATCAGCATGGAAGCATGTCTTCTGGAATGATGGCTGAGGCATGTCTGGCATGTAAATACCTTGCAACGCTGGCTACAAAAGTGCCATGTGAACGCCTGTTCTCACTTTCAGGTGACATTGTAAACAAGAACCAGGAAGCATTATCTCCTGCAACCAAACTTGTTTGTCTGAGTGACTGGCTGACCAAATAGGACTGAGTGGACTTGTAGGCTCTAAAGTTTTATATTGTTTTGGTTTAGAGTGCAGTTATGTAACAAAAAACCTACATTTGTAAGTTACACTTTCACAATAAAGAGATTGCACTACAGTACTTTTATAAGGTGAATTGAAAAATACTATTTCTTGTATCATTTTACAGTGCAAATATTTGTAATAAAAAATAATATAAACTGAGCATTGTACACTTTGTATTCTGTGTTGGAATAGAAATAAATATATTTGAAAATGTAAAAAAATGCTTAATACATTTCAATTGGTACTCTACTGTTTAACAGTGTGATTAATTGTGATTAATTTTTTGGAGTTAATCGTGTGAGTTAACTGTAATTAACCGACAGCCCTAATTTATATTTATGAATTCATTATATATAATGAATCTAAATGAGAAGCTAGGATTGTCAAAAGTTGAAAAGGGAAGAAAAGGGACAGAAAGAGAAATCTACGGCCAACATACATAAGGACAATAAGGAGGTTTTTTTAAGGATATTAGGAATAGAGAGAATCCTAACAATGCTAGGGTACTAATGTTTTAAAAGCAGAGAGGGAATGACATGGGTATGTATAGGCCTACCAAACTGACATAGGTCCCAAGCAAAATAGAGCAGCTGATATGGCACTGAATTAATAAAGAATTAAAGGAAGGTGATATAATTAATGATAGTCAATATAGTTTATGGAAAATAGAACTTACCAAATGTGATATCTACTTTTTTAAAAAATTAGATTACAAGTTTGGCTGATTAAGATAATAGTGTTGATGTAAAATACTTAGGCTTCTGTAGGGCATTTGACTTAGTACTAGAAGACATTTTGACAAGTTAAATAGATTAAAAACTGGCAAACTGATAGGTCTCAAACTGTAATTGTAAACAAAGAATCATCATTGAACAGGAGTGTTTCCAATAGGCTCCTGCAGGGATCAGTGTGTGGCACTATGCTATTTAACAATTTTATTAAAGATCTGGAAGAAAAAAAACCCTAATAGAATCATAGAAATATAGGCTTGAAGGGACCTTGAAAAGTCATCAATTCCAGCCCTCTGTGCTGAGGCAGGACCAAGTATACCTACACCATCCATGAGAGATGTTTGTCCAACCTGTTCTTAAAAGCCTCCTATAACAGGGATTCCATAACATCCCTTGGTAATTCCAGTGCTTAACTATTCTTATAGTTAGAATGTTCTCACTAACCTAAATCTCCCTTGCTGAAGACTAAGCTGACTATTTCTTTTGTGGCCTCCAGTGGATATAGAGAACAATTGGTCACAGTTCTCTTTATAACAACCCATAACATATTTGAAGATTTGTCAGCTATCCCCCTCAGTCTTCTTTTCTCAGACTAAACATGCCCAGTTTTGTTTAAAACTTTCCTCACAACTCAGTTTTTCTAACCCTTTTCTCGTGGTTGTTGATGTCCTATGGAGTCTATCCAATTTTCCACTTATTTCCTGAAGTGTGGCACTCAGAACTGGGTACAGTAATGCAGCTGAGGCCTTACCAGTTCCAAGTAGAGCAGGTCAATTTCCCCCTGGTATTACATCAGACACTCCTGTTCATACAGCCCAAATGATATTAACCATTTTTCACAACTGCATATAACCCCCAGGCAGTGCCACCACCTACTCACTTATTTCCCATTTTGTAGCTGCACATTTGATTTTTCCTTCCTAAGTGAGGTTCTTGCACTTGTCTTTATTGAATTTCATCCTCTTAATTTCAGAGCATCATTTTCAATTCTAAACCTGACCTCCAAAGTGCTTGCAAATCCTCCCAGCTTGGTGTTATCTGAAAATTTTATAAGCATGCCGTACATTCCATTATTGAAGTAATTAATGAAAATATTGACTAGTACCAGACCGAGGACTGACCCCTGTGGGATTCTATTTGATACATCCTCCCAGTCTGACAGTGAACCATTGGTAACTACTCTGACTGTGGTCTTTCCTCAGTTATGCAAACACTGTTATGGGGTTCAGGAGCAATCATTACTAATAAAGGCTCATGCCACCTCTTGCTCTGTAACCCTGGATGCCTCACGATGCTTTGCTGCTGTAGCTCCCAAACTGGGACACTCACAACCAGCCTACAAACATGAAGGTCACACCTTGAGTGTCAGTGCTAGACAACCCTGGTTCAGCAGCTCTGACCCCAGGAACCTCTTTACATAGAATCATAGCATATTAGGGTTGGAAGAGACATCAGGAGGTTATCTAGTCCAATCCCCTGCTCAAAGCAGGACCAACACCAACTAAATCATCACAGCCAGGGCTTTGTCAAGCCGGGCCTTAAAAACCATTTAGGGTGGGGATTTCACCACCTCCCTAGGGAACCCATTCCAGTGCTTCACCACCCTCCTAGTGAAACAGAGCTTCCTAATATCCAACTTAGACTTCCCCCACTGCAACTTGAGACCATTGCTTCTTTTCTGTCATCTGCCACCACTGAAACAGCCGAGCTCCATCCTCTTTTGAACCCCCCTTCAGGTAATTGAAGGCTGCTATCAAATCCCCCCCCCCAATCACTCTTCTCTTCTGAAGACTAAATAACCCCAGTACCTTCAGCCTCTCCTCGTAAGTCATGTGCCCTCTCATCATTTTCATTGTCCTCTGCTGGACTCTCTCCAATTTGTCCACACCCCTACTGTACTAGTGGGACCAAAACTGGACACAATACTCCAGGTGTGGCCTCACCAGTGCTGAATCACTTCCCTCGATCTGCTGGCAATGCTCCTACTAATACAGACCAATATGCCATTGGCCTTCTTGGAAACAAGGGCACACTTCTGCTCATATCCAGCTTCTTGTCCACTATAATCCCCAGGTCCTTTTCTGCAGAACTGCTGCTTAGCCAATCAGTCCCCAGCCTGTAGAAGTGCATGGGATTCTTCCTTCCTAAGTGCAGGACTCTGCCCTTGTCGAACCTTATCAAAGTTCTTTTGGCCCAATCCTCCAATTTGTTTAGTTCACTCTGGACCCTATCCCTACCTTCCAGCATATCTACCTCTCCCCTCAGCTTAGTGTCATCTGTGAACTTGCTGAGGGTGAAATTCATCCCATTATCCAGATCATTAATGAAGATGTTGAACAAAACCGGCCCCAGGAATGACCCCTGGGACACTCTGCTTGATACCAGCTGCCAACTAGACATCGAGCCATTGATCACTACCCGTTGATCCCAACAATCTAGCCAGCTTTCTATCCACCTTATAGTCCATTCATCCAATCATACTTTAACTTGCTTGCAAGAATATTGTGGGAGACCATATCAAAAGCTTTGCTAAAGACAAGATATATCACATCTACCACTTTCCCCTATCCGCAGAGCCAGTTACCTCATTATAGAAGGTTTCAGAGTAGCAGCCGTGTTAGTCTGTATCCGCAAAAAGAAGAACAGGAGTACTTGTGGCACCTTAGAGACTAACAAATTTATTAGAGCATAAGCTTTCGTGGACTACAGCCCACTTCTTCGGATGCATATGCA